CTCGTGGGAAATAGAATCAAAGGCTTTGCTGAAATTTAAGAAAATTACATCAACCTCATATCCTTTGTCCACATGGCTAGATACCTAGTCGTAGAAGGGCACCAGGTTAGTCAGGCATGATCTACCCTCAAAAAAGCCGTACTGGTTGCTTTGTAACACTCCTTCAGTTATCAGGTTGTGAGTGATGGCCTCCTTAACAAATTTTTCAAAGATTATTCCCAGGACCGAAGTCAGGCTGACCAGTGTGTAGTTTGCCGAGTCATCCCTCTTCCCTTTCTTAAAGATGGGCACCACATTGGCCCTCTTCCAGTCATCCAGAACCACTCCTGAGTTCCATGATTCTTGAAACAGCTTGGCCAGTGGTGCTGCTATAAGCTCAGCCAGTTCTTTCAAGACTCTGAGGTGCAGGTTGTCTGGCCCAACAGACTTGAAAGCATCCAGGTGTTGTAGGAGATCCCTCATCTGCTCAGGAGTGATTTCATGTAATCTTTTGTCTTCCCCACATTTCCTGGGCCTCTGGTCAGGTTAACAGCTCCTGTTTCATTTCAGGAATACTGACGTGAAGTATGTATTTAGGAGTCTGTCTTTTTGCAGGCATTGATTGTGGGCTGCCCCTGAGGATTCAGTAGGGGGTCCCACAGTTGATATTGATTTTTTTTTTTTCTTCCTTCCTATGTATCTGTAGAAGGACTTATTGTTGTCTTTTATGCCAGTTGCCAGATTGATTTCCATGCTTGCCTTAGCTTTCCATGTCTCGTACCTGCAGGCCCTGGCAATACAAGTGTATTCCTCTCTGGTAGCTGATCTGTTCTTCCATAGCTTATATGCTTCTTCTTTCTTTTTCAAAAGCTCCCTAATATCCCTGTTGAGCCAAGAGGGTCTCTTGGCTCCTTTCCTGTTTTTTGTCCACATGGGGATGGCCTGTTTGTGAGCTGTGAGAATTGACTCCATAAGGAAGCACCACCGATACAAGTACTATCCTGCTGTAGAGCAGACTAGTTTACTCCATTCTAACAGAGGTGCACGTGTAGATACTGAGACATTTACTGAGCAGCTAATTAGTCAACTGCACAGTAAATGGTCCATGTACAGGGGCCTACTGTGGACCACCAAGTTGTCTGGGATGGTTACCACAGTTAGGTAAAGGTTTTAAATGGTTATGTGGCGGCTGCTGCATAACCCTGCTTTCTTCTCTGTGGGTGTGTCTACATGTGTTTTATTAATGCAATAGTAAAATACTGCTCAGTAAGCCTTCCCTGGGAACGTGTGCCCTATTTGAAGCAAATCTGTTTCCAATGGGAGCAGCCTAGTACAGGGCTGCTCCTGCCCTGCCCTGCCACAGCAGCCAGGCTCTGATGTGGCTGGGGCCAGGAAAGCCCTGCCATTTGCATTGGCAGCTGCCTCCTTGCCCCATGCACATTGGGAGGGGTCCTGATGTGTTTGGGGCCTAGAGACAGCTGCTACTATAGTTGGCAGAGCTCTCCCAGCCCTTTGCGCATTAGGACACACAGCTGCCAGTAAGCCCTGTACCCAGAGGGGCTTCCCTGCCCAGCAGGGATCTCACCAGGAGCTGTCCTGATTCTGGGGGAGCTGCTAGCGAGTCCCCTGCTGGGCAGGGATTACTTGCACATCAGGCGGCTTGCTGGTAGTGCGGGATGGGACCAGGGCAGAGAGTGACCCTGTCCCAGAGCTGTTCAGCTCGCAACTCCTGGGGGAGCCAGGAGCTGGGCAGGACCAAGACTGGGGACAGAGAACTCACCAGTCTCTTATGGTCCCCTGCTGATGTTTACAGGTACTAGCTAACTGCATAATAGACTAATTTACTGTGCAGTAAATGCCATGCACATGTAAATGGTGACGCTGTACTGAGCAGATTAATCTGTTACGCAGTAAAGATCTCATGTACATGTGCCCTGTGTCTCATTTCTTGTATTTACATTACTGTAGCATTGACTTTATAGGTATAGTTTGTTCCAAGTGATATTTATAGCCTAACATGCAAACTGATATGCGAATAGGCTGGTGCAGTTTACCAGGACTTCTGGGCAATATAAAGTTACATAACTATGCTGGGATCGGTACATATCTTCAGTATTTTACTAGAGTTAACCAAGAATTTTTCCCTGTGAACAATGTAAATGAAAAAGTCCTTGACTTAAACAGAAAGTTTTTAGGTTTGCAGGTAAACACATTTTTCCTCTAAAGCTTCTATTACATATAAAATAGTTTTCTGTCAAAAGAAAAAATAAAAAGGTTTCAGTCAGTTCTTTCACTGGAAATGTTTCTGTAAGCACCATAAATATGCCTTTCCCTGTGTATGATTCTGATGACCTTTACAGATTTTTGAGACCTAGACGTGTACCATTTAATTGATGTAAACATACCCATATTTTATTTCTGTAACATAGATTGATCTCTTTGAGTATTGTTTTGGAATTGTGATTGCTGAGTTTACCAATTTGATCCATCAGCCCTGGATACTGCAGTGGGTTTATGGAAAGTGTAAGTCTGGGAGGTTGGGGGAGGTGGAGTGGAGACCGTAATTTGTAGGTGATAGTGAAACAAAAATGAGACAGGGGATGCCGTCTTACAGTGCTGGAATGGGCACAGAGATATCCAAAACCCTGCTTCTGGTGGAAACTGAGCCCTGGGATGGGACACAGAAGCCTAAGAAAGAACACAGAATGCTATACACTTGTTTAGTCATAGTCATGCACCTATATGTAAAATTGCACCTTCATGCAAATACACAGACATTTTTTGTATTAGGATGGCATCTGAGAGCAACACTGTAGCCATGGTTGTGTTTTAAAATATGCTAAAAATAGAGCAAAACTCTTGTAATTTTCTAAAAGTGGGGGGCCAATTGCTGTGAATTTAATTTTAAATGCCATGCCTACAATTTTAAATGTTGCTTGGTTTCTCTTTGTAAATGCTTCATAAAATGGACATTGACTGAATATTTTTTCTGGCAATCTGACCCTTCTTTGTTGACCAATGAAGTAAAATATCAAAGCATCTTAGCCGGTGTACTATAGGTGTACTTAGGACTATAAATCCCATTGAAAGTTCTGGGGCGAGTCAGTGTGACCTGTATAATTGTTTTTTAAATGGGAAATAGGGTTATTTTAGCTATTACTCACTACAGGTAAAGGTATGTGCACTAGTGGTTGCCAACAGAGATGTTCTTGTTAAATAAAATTTTCTCTAGTGCACAGATTTTTTCCCCCCAGATAAAATCAACTCAGTGGTCTAGTTAAAATCTTCCCTCAGTAGCTACACTTTTAGGAGAGACAGTTAAATTTTATACTACAGAGCAAAAACTTTTCTGTGCAGTGCTTGGCACGAGCTTTCCTGAACAGCAACTGCACTTCACCATAACCTAACCTTACATAGGATGGGATGGATCTGTAAGTGCAGGCTGGTGACTGAATAAGATGCTAGATGGCCAAAAGACAGAAGCCTGTCAACAATGTGTTTTGTAAGAGGACTGTCACAGGGTTCAAAAATCCACAGTGGTTCACTAGGTTAGGGCAGGGGGAGGGAGGGGGAGAATCATTATTCCCTCATACACAGATAGCTCCCCAAAGTAGATCTCTTATTGTCATGTTTGGTCTGCACCAACAGCTACGTAGTAGTTCATTTATATACTTGTAAGAAACATATGATATTTTTGTTAAGTGACTTAATAAGCAAGTCGTCAGTTTGTTTACTATCAAGAAAGCAAGCGTTGTATTGGCTTTGGGGAGCGCAGTGGGGTAGGGCACAAAAATGGGGTATGGCTTCTGGAAACCTAGCACCAGGGCTCCAAGACATTTGAAAACTAAGCTTGCAAGCCTAAAAGAAAGGACTGCTAGGAAAATCCTGCTGAGCAAAGGTAGAACTTAGGTGAATTGTTTCTGTTTTGTTATGTTCATGTAAACCAGGCCCAAAGAAATTAAGGGGGGTGGGGAGATGGAGGAATTGTGCCATGCCAAGTAGAAAGCATTGCAGAGCCAGATGGTAATCTGAGAACAGCCAGGTCTGGTAAAATGGTACACTTGAGCCTGCATAAGCATTACTGAACTCTAAAAAGTGAATACAGGTTTCCCTTGCCAACCATGGTTTTCCCAGCCACGGTACTGAGTATCCACACTTAATAATCTATATACCATGTTGGCTACCACGGTATACAGTTTTGAGTAACCACGGTTTTCCATGGCTGCGCATCAACCTGGCATTTTTCCCATAAGCCTTTTGTCTTGCTAACCCTGGTTTTTCCAGGCACGGGAACTTTGAGGAACCTAAGCCCAGTGGTTGGTGAGGGAAACCTGTAGTTTCCGTGGTTGAAGCAGTTGTTACGTATTATTATTAGTAATGCATTATTATTACTACTACTAGTACCGGTCCTGTTGTTTTATTAGAGTAGCTATACAACTTGCCCTGCAAAAGCTCTACTAAAGCTAAGCCCGGCAGTGTGACAGCTTCTCTCCTACCCCCAGACATCTGCTTCTACCCTTACAACTACAACCAGGCTCTATCACCTTCACTCTTTGCCTCATCTAGGATGCCTGAGACATCCTTTGCGGTGAAAACAGGCATCCGTAAGTGCGCTCCAGGGCAGAAGAGCAAGTCCCAGGGGCAGAGCACTGAAAGTGAGAGAAATTGCCTTGAGCAACTAAGAATCAGAGAGGAAGTCTACAGGGCAGAGGTGGGCAGGGTTACAGCGGGGCTCGTAAGAGAGAGAGCCCCCCTGTAAGATTTGAAAATCACCCACTCCGAGAAGCCATTTCAACAGCTTGGCGGCTTCGGGGGCCGGTTTTGTTGGGCCCAAGAGCAGCGCGAGGAGCCCTGGGCCAGGACCCGGCGCCCGTTTAGTGCGCGCCCTCCGCGGAGCGGCCACACACAGGAGCGCGGCGCGGCTGCCCCCGAGCCTCGATGTCCCGGACGGGGCAGGGCTTGCGCCGTGCGGGGCGGGGGAAGGAGCCGGGAGGAGCCACTCGGGCCGGGCCGCCGGGCCGGGCCAGTGGGGCAGCATGGCCGGGATCGGGCGGGGGCCGGAGGAAGAGCTGCTGTCCTTCCAGGCCTTCCAGAGCAGGTGCCCGCCGGGGGCCCGCTACGGCGCGCGGGACAGTTGGCAGCGGGACTTCCGCCGGCTCCGAGGTAGCGCCGCGCGGGGCGGGGGTCGGGGTCGGGCCGGGCGCGC